TAACTAGACTTCCGTTCTAATAGTCTTTACACGTGTAATCTGACAAATTGTTGGATTTACCAGTACTACTGGTCCTTTATCTGTATATCTGAAACACGAAATAGTATGTGAACTGTTATGATAAGCAAAACTTTTATATATAATCACATATTAATAAATAACTGTGTTAGACATTATTAACCTTATTAACCTAAGTACTTAAATTGACATTTAAATAGCCGAGAGTGTCTGGCTTTAAATATTTATTTGTCATAATATAACAATGCAATACCTGAATATCAATTGATATTGATAGATTTGTAGTGTTAGTATACTGACTTTGAGTTGGAGATTTTTGTAACTAGACTTACGCTCTAGTGCTATTCTTGCGATATCCTGACTTTTTGATAAGGCGACATCCTCATTGGATACTGGCCTTGCCCGTGCTCCTAAAAAGTACAAATAGTTAGGGATTTGTGCTACGATAAGTAGAATTCATACAGTTATCTACCAATAATGGTTTGTACTAGTTACTATAATTTAAATACCTAAATTAATATTAAACAGCTTAGAAGTTATATTGACTCTAAATAGTATATCTACTAACATTATAGACAATATTTAAATATTAAATGATAGTGTAAAATTTACAGTGCTAAAATATTGAATTTTGAATAAGTAACACTAAATAGATCTGTGCTGTAGTGTCTTACGTGGAGACTCGTTTTTGATATCTAATGACCTTGTCATATTGTTAGTCCTCCGCTTGAGTGTCTGAAACCACAATTAATAAGTATTTTGTGATGTGATAGTGGAATTTATATAACTACACATCAATTATAGACACTTATGCCAAATATTATCAACCTAAATACTTAAAATGACATTAAAATAGCCTTGAAGACATTTGGTCTTAAATAATTCATTTACCATAATACACTGGGGCTGCGTCTCAGTTCCTCACCTGTGATATTTGACGTGATATCTAATAACTTTACCAATATTATTAGTCTCCTGTTTGTGTACCTGAAACATACAATAATAAATTATCTACTTAATGATTGAATCACGGATGATGGGCTGCGTGACTATATTAACCCCAAGTTATGCTGGTGATAATCGGCTATAATAATTAACGGACCTACAATATATTGTAATATCTTTAGTTAATTTTATATGTTTAGTTCATACCTTGTTTATGAGGATTCATTTATGACTGTACAATTAATGATTGCCCTTGACATCTGTGATGCGATAGTGCAATTTGCCTTTGTAAGGTTATACGCGTTGGTTGCATTCTGTGTGGTTGGAGCATTCTCCTTGTTGTTGCATTTGATGTGTGATAAATTCTGGGAGAGTGTTCTGTCCAACAGTGCTAATATATTAGTATTAACCTAATATAGTTTAACATATATACATTAATTCTGAATTTTGACTATTGTTGCCATCATTATTGATGATTGAGTAATATTACCTTGCACTGCACCAATTGTGTGCTGTTGAGATGATATAATATTTAAATGTGTATCCTTTGATTTGTTGCATCGTTGAAGTGACATGTAAGAGTTGAGGTTATAGACTCTCTCCAATTGAATTCTCTCTCGGAATAGTAAATGTAACAAACGGACATCGACGCGCCATCTATGTATTGCGAGCGAACTCCGTATCCAAACTTTTGTACAATCATTGAGTATACATAGATATGCAACTCGACGTGACTTGTACATTTTGTCCAGTCACTAGATCTAGGGGAATTCACTAAATCTTTATATTTATACGTTCTCCTCGCTTTATAAGTGAATTTCAATTCCAAAGCAGTATTGTATTACATAATTAATTAATTTTTTATTAAATAATCATTTTTATGCGTATTTTTCTTAACATAACAATTATATACCCAATGTTATAAGCGTAACTTGTTATACTTCATGTACTTTGTCTAATTTACTAGATATAGGGGAAATTCTCCAACTTTATACTTTAGTGCTTTCCCTTGTTATATAAGCGATTATTATACCAAAAGCGGTACTTAATTATAGTTTCCATTAAATGACTGCATCATGTATGCAATTTTTCGTTATTTAGCAAATATATACATAATACCATAGGTGTTACTTGTTATACTTTAAGTACTTGATTAGGTTACTAGATATAGGAAAAATTTACTAGATTTCATATTTTTGCGTATTTTCAATGCACAAATGATTTATGGTGCTAAAATAGTATAATTACATCTTATTTTGTTCAGTTTTTATATAATATAAGCACAATTTGTTATATTTTTATATTTTGTCTATGTTACTAGATATGGGGAATTTTGTTAAATCCTATGTCTTACGTTTTTCTTTGTTATAGAAGGGATTCTTAACATTGAAATATTATCTTGATGTTTAGTTATTTACAGAATTTATGTTAAGAGCTTAATTAAGCCAATAAGTACCCCCATATCTGGGGAAACGCGATATTTGAACAATTGCTTTGAACTTTCTTTTCTTTTTGCGTTTAGGCGTTATTTGCACACAAAGCATTGTTAGTAATTAATCTTTATTAATTTTATAATATTTAGCATACATTTGTATTGATATATACGGAGGTTCAGTGCATTGTGTTACTGGTATGTATCCTGATGTTGAATATTAGTGGCGTGACTCTTGCGGCTTCTCCTCCTCAATTAGTTTTGAGGAATGGTTGATGCTATTTCTCGCGCCCTAAATAAATAAATAAACTTAAGCGTTGTCTCCCTATATATCAATTTGAGTTAATAATGCTGCACGGATCCCTGATGTTGCCTGTTTAACATTAGGGGAATCTCTGTAGATCGTTCTACCGCCTTGTAAATTACAATTTAATCTAAATCTAATTGCTGAACTTCAGTTAATTAAGTAGTTGTGATTTTTGCATTGGTTCTCTGTGTTATTGCGTAACACTAGATGAGCCTCGTGCGACTTCCATTATCACTACTAGTAATATATTTAACACCAATATGGAGTCAGTAGAGGATGTTATGATGCGTTTATGTAAAGCTAGGCTCACACCCACCATGCTACTGGGAAGCGCGCTTAATTCAATTATTAAGATGCGACAAAATGATGTTAAATGTAATCGTTCTTTATCTTCGGATGACCTTAATAATGTTGAGGCATGTATTAGGATTATTTATAATCAAGGTCACAAATGTTTTGCGCTCGTTCGTACTTGCTTGGCAAAGTTGCTAAATATGAACTTCTACTTAAAAATGTTAATTCGGATGAAATTATACGTACAAATTCTCCACCGAAAGATGAAGAGAAGGAAATTGAATTGAGCTCTCGAAGGATACACAATACTTCGCTGGATTCAAACGAAATTAACTCATCCAATCGTTTAATGGTTGAATCTATAGAGTCTCAACTGTCGGATCTTAATAGAATGATAGAGCTTGATAAGACAGAGGATAATTTGATATATATTAGTCACTCGATAAACAATAAAAGAGCAGAGCTAGATAAGATTAGTGAAGATTTACATGCTATTTCGTGCTCAGTGACTTGTAGCACTAACAACGATACCCTGGACGGATCCCTTTTATGCCAACCCTGCAAGTCTCTGGATTATGAGTATGAGGGAAGGCCCCCTCTAAAAAACCGATTAATTATGATAACATGGCAGACACAATGGAAACGAATACGAACTTACCGTCGCAGGAGGAATTCGGAGCCTCCAGTGATCGCTTGGCGGAGTTGTCGTCCCCGGCTCCGCCCAGTCGTCATCTCATGAGGGGCTGACCTGTTCGTTGCCGCCGGGCGAACAGGTCAATATGGCTACCGCGGACGATAGTGGACCTGGTGATACGGTCTGCGTACGAATGGAGACTGCCGTAGCGGATAATGAGGCACCAGTCGATCTGCCTGTAAGCAGTGCACTAATGGCGTGTCCGCCTGAAGTTGGCAGAGTTGGCTCAAACACACCATCTGTCGAGTTTGTAGGGAATGTTGCACCTACAGAGCAAGCAGCAAAGCGTAAGGCTGATGAATCCCCAGAAAATGATATTTTCGCTCCAGTTGGTAGAGGTCGTAAACTCGTGCAATCGAAAGCTCTGATGAACAAGATTCTGTTGATGAGGCACCAAGGAGTAGGTCCAAACCAAGCCCAGTTAAAGAGCGAGTATTGAGCTCTCCCTCTTACGGCAGAGTCAGATTGCATCGTAGATATAAATGTGATAAACTGAGACGTAGTGGCAGGCTTGCGGCTGCTGATAATCAGGAATTGATTGAATCGAGTCCTGTGGTGATCTCAGACGAGGAGGACAATACGGATACTGCTGCGACAAATCCTTCCCTCAGTCAACCTGATGTGCCCAAAACGACGGCTAGGAAAAGAAGAAGAATTCCCCGCCTAAAACGACGAGTGGAAATATTGATCCCGGATTGAACGACTCGGCCCTTACTGGTGAATCCGATGTTGATATTAGGATTAGTATTGATGAGCTTGTGTCCATGAACAACGCGGAAGTCGCTGAGTATGGTTTATCCTTACTTAATGAAACTGAGGCTTTGCGATCTAAGAGTAAGAACCTCTCTGGCAAGTACAGTGGCCGTTGGAGGCGATATTTAGTGCAGCTAGAGGATGTCGTGCGTGCTTTTAGCCGTAAGGTGCAATCTCAGGGCGATGTCAACTACCTGAAACGTAGGAATCAGGAGCTCCTGGATCAAATGAAAGACATGCAAAACGCGAGGAGGAAACGCAAGCTGAACTCAGACGCGTTAATAATATGATGGCTGACATGCAGAAACGGATAAGTTCGCTTGAGGAAGTCCGTAATGAAATGCCCAAAACAAATAGGGCTAATAAAACTAGGAGTGCTATTGCCGAGTATGATGATACTGGCTCTTCTTCGGCTCGATCCCCCTCTGTAGATTTTAGAGGGAGGAATGAGAACAGCACTGTGGAGCGGGCTTTAGAAACTGCAGGGTCGACATGTAGTCCGCCCCCATCTACAAGCAGAGACGGCCCATCTTATATAGCGTCTAGGGTGTTTCGTAATACGAAAAATGAACCTAAGGTGCCTGATAATAGGGCTTTTCGTCCTCCCCTGAAGACTTCGCTGGACAAAGGGATCAGGATTGTTGAAAACAGACAAGTTGTTCCCCCTAATGTAGTGAGGCGTAAACCTGTTTCTCCGAGAATCATGCCTGCGGTGGGAGGGGGGGAAAATTTCCCTCCCCTTCCTTCGTCTTCCTACTCTCGACGGCATTCCAGGAACTCTTTGGATACAGTGGTTAGTGGCCGACGGCCTGATGGTGATAGCAGGCCTATGATTGGTAAGCCTAAGGTTGGCAGGCGCAAGGTTGCTGTAGTTACCCTTACCAGCAAAACAGGTACAAATGCCTCATATGCGGACATTCTTGGAGCAGCTAGGAGGAACACCTCTTTGGATACTCTAGGAATTCAAGAAACTAGGATTCGCCGCGCCTTTAACGGAGGCTATAAGATTGAGGTCCCCGGCGCTAATGGTGCTGAGTTAGCGGTAATTGAAGGACCACCTGGAGGTGATTCTTCAAGATGTTGCTAAAGTGGATAACCCTGTTGCTCGGGGGACTTAAATAACTGGCCTGGCTCCCTCTACCTCAACTGAGGAGATTAGGGAGCAATTGGCGCAGATTAGCTGTTTTCCTCCAATGGCTTTTGGTATCAGTGAGGTCAAAACTATGCGTGACGGCATGGGCATTGTATGGGTACAATGTCCCTTAAATGCTGCGATTGCTGTTGCCGAAGTTGGGCGGCTGCGTATTGGCTGGACATCGGCGAGAGTCGAGTTACTGAAGAAACGTCCAGTCCAATGTTTCAAATGTTGGAGATTTGGACACGTCCGTACAAACTGTGCTGCCCCCGAGGATAGATTCGGGTCGTGTTTCAGATGCGGTAACAGTGCGCATAAAGCTAAGGATTGTTCTGCCTCCCCCCACTGTGTTATATGCTCTGATATTGGTAAGAGCTGCAATCACCGTATTGGTTCATTCATTTGTCTAGTCAATAATGGCTATGATAATGCTAAGCGTGTGAATCAAAGGCAACCGGTACAACTCGCTACACATGGTTATTAACATACTACAATGTAATCTTAATAGGTCATGGCAAGCATTAGATCTCCTGCGTCAACAATCTATTGAGCTTGGAATTAACTTATGTGTGATTTCTGAACCTCCTTACGGCTCTAGTGTTCCTGCTGACTGTTATTATAGCGAAGATGGCACAGCCGCCATAATGGTTGTTAAAAGTAACTTCAAATATAAAATGTATATATGTATAGATAATGTTATTGTATTAGAGTGCTCTGATTTTTACGTGGTATCTTGCTACATATCACCCAATAGCTCTCGAATTAAGTTTGAGGCGTTTGTTGATAGCCTGGATGGTATACTTAAACAGTTGTGCTACAAGAAAGTGTTGGTATGCGGAGATTTCAACTCTAGGTCTCTTCACTGGGGTTCGAAGTTAACCGATAGAAGAGGTTCGCTTATAGACCTCACGATGTCATCGAATGGTCTATTGCTAGTTAACATAGGTGATCAACCTACCTGTATTCGGCCCCAGGGTTCCTCAGTCGTGGACTTAACTTGGTCTTCCTGTAATATGATAAGAGATATATGTGATTGGCAAGTTAGAAGCGGTATGGAGACTTTGTCTGATCATGTGTATATAACATTTACATATCGCGATCAACTTGGTATTCGGTCGTCATCCAGTCTTCCACCAAACAGCTGGAACTTCAAGAAAATGGACAAGCCTCTTTTTGTGGAATGCCTTGAGTGGTACTGCTGCTTGAACTCATCGCCTTTCTTAGATGACAATTCAGTGGACCCTATGGTTGACTGGATCAATGGAACCATTGCTGACGCGTGTACGCATCTACACCCCGCTCGAAGAGGAACAACAAAAGGTGTTGCTACTGGTGGTCCGAAGAAATTAGTGATCTTAGGAGAGCAGCTATTGCTGACAGACGAGCTCTTACTCGAGCTAAAAGGAAGCAAAATGATGTGCGTATTAGAAGTTCATATGATAAATATAGAGTGTCGAAAAGAAATTTACGTATTGCTATTAACAAGGCAAAAATGCGGCGTGGAATGAGCTAATGGGCACCCTAAATACTGATCCGTGGGGACTGCCGTATAAACTGGTTCTTAATCGGCTGCGTAAATCTGGTGACAATCTGGCCAGGTCTATCTCTGGTGCTGAATTGTCTAGGCTTCTTGGAGACTTGTTTCCGTCGAATAGATTTGGGTTCGATTCTCTTCCTTTAGATGTTGTTTGGTCTGAGGAATGGGATGTAACCCCAGGCGAGGTACATAGTTATCTTAAAAAGAGATTAGCCCGTAATGTCGCACCGGGGCCCGATGGAATAAAATCTACGGCCCTTAAAGCTGTTCCTTGGTCACTGGTTCGTATATTGGCAGCCTGTTATACCCGATGCCTAAGACTGGGTATCTTTCCATCAAGGTGGAAACTAGCTAATTTAGTATTGATTCCAAAAGGAGTTGCGAGTCCTAATGCTCCAGTTAAAGCGAGACCAATATGCCTATTGGATGAGCTAGGCAAAACTTTTGAAAGAATCATAGTTGATAGGATTCAATATTGGCTCACAGAAAATCCGGTTTATGATTTATCTCCATGTCAATATGGCTTTAGGCGCAACAAATCAACTGTTGATGCTCTTATGAACCTAAGACATTTTACGTCGTCAGCGTTGGAAGAAGGCAAGGTAGCAATAGCAGTGAGTCTTGACATCAAGAATGCCTTTAATTCGGTCCCTTGGGAGTAATTCGTAAGGCATTAAACGATCGTAGTATTCCTGGTTACTTGTGCAATATAATTAACAGCTACCTAAGTGATAGATATATTACTTACCTGGATGGAGATGGTGTGCAGTGTAGAAGGAAGGTGGATTCTGGAGTTCCGCAGGGTTCCGTAATGGGTCCCTTACTTTGGAACCTGGCTTTTGACGACGTTCTTCATTTGCTGCTTGAGCCTGGTTGTCAGATTATTTGTTACGCTGATGATACCTTGATAGTCTCTACTGCTGACACTATTGATATGGCAGTTTTAAAAGTTGATATTCAGTTGGCCAGGATACTTCGGCATATTCGTTATATCCAACTTGAAGTTGCTGAGGCTAAGACAGAAGCCGTTCTGTTCTGTTATAGGAAACCGCCCAGCATGCCGGTCATCACATGTGGTAACTCTAATATTAAAGTCAAAACCACCATGAAATACTTAGGTGTAATGGTGGATAGTAGGTGGTCCTTTGGTGCTCATTTTAGCTATGTTGAGGAAAAGGCGTCGAAGATCTTACGCTCCTTATCTAGGCTGATGCCTAATTTGAGAGGACCTCTATTCAAAAAGAGACGGCTCTATGCCAACGTTATAACGTCCATCGTTATGTATGCAGCTCCAGTGTGGGCGGACAAGTATTACGTTGCACCATACAAGGAGACACGCATGTTACGTGCACTGCAACGTAGGACTGCAATTCGCGTGATATCGGCTTATCGTACGGTATCATATAATGCGGCATGTTTAATTGCTGGTATGCCTCCATGGCCCTTAACTGCAACGTGTAGAAGAAGAGTCTACCTGCGTGTGATCGAACTCCGAGATGCTCCGGAATGGAACCCTCGTCACATCTTAGAGATCAAGGAAGAAGAGGAAGTGATTATGATGCGCCAATGGGACATCTCCATCAGACGTCGGGACTCTCCTGGAGAAACTACTATATCGGCTATTGGACCGGTTTTGACTCAATGGTGCCAGAGAGGTTTCGGCAACGTGAACTTCCATCTCACGCAAATCCTAACGGGGCATGGATGTTTCGGCCATTATTTATATCGAATGGGTAAAAGATGGTTACCCAGGTGTCAACAATGTGTCAATGTTGATGACACAATGGAGCACACGCTGGTCTCCTGCAGAGCATGGAGATATGAGCGTGAAAGACTAGTAAATGTGTTGAACATTGAGATCGATTCACTCAGTCTAATTAACGTTATTAAGGAAATTATTGTATCGGAGGAAAAGTGGATCGCTTTAATGAATTTGTTAATTGTATTATGCGTGGTAAGGAGGAGGATGAGAGGAGAATTCAAGCTCTTCTCCTCTCACCTACCTCAGATTAGTTGAGGCTGACATGTCCGTTAGTCAGATTCTTATCGTTGTCAATAACTCTATGTCACTTTAACTGTGAAAACCCACATTGAAGAGCAGCAGGCATTGTAGATGGGGTGTCTGCATGCCATTGCACGCTGCCTTCAAGGTGGGCTGAATGGACTTGCATTGCAGGTGGCGCAGGTCTCATTCAATTAGTGGTAATTTTTTAATTATTTGAGTGCACATTAAGTGCTCCCTTGGAGGCTGCCTGGAAGTAATGCGTTAGCGGTTCCCAGGCAGTCTCTTAATGGTTAGGATGCCACACGACGGGTTTAGTGGTCGGGTCAGGACCTTCTGTCCTCACCCATCCCCACATAACGAACCCTCTCCCCCGAGGTGGAGTATGTGTTGAGCACATTCCCGTCGCTAAAAAAAAAAAAAAAAAAGGTTAGGTTAGGTTAGGTTAGTCGGAGACTATGTCCTCGTTACACGTGTGCGAGTACGCTCCGTATAGTAGTACATATTAGTAAGTTAAAGTGCGTTTGAGTGCAAAAACAGTTCTGGTCTATGTTTGTAGTGCCAAGACATCAGCAGGGTGGAGACAAATTGTTTAAACAATTATTTTCTTGTTATAAGCCTCCCAAGTTTTCACACGTGCTCTGCCTGTCTATGATTTTTTGACAGGCAGCTTGACACTTAAGTATAAGTTAAAAGTTTATTAGAACTGATGTATTTTGTCCTGGGATTATTGTTGCATCGAACTTTATCGTAATACATTAATTTCAGGCGATTCTATAAAGTATTTAATTGATAATAAGTGATTTTCTGTTGAAGACTATTGATGTCTCTCTTGCACCTATAGACACGTACTATAGGCGCATATTGTGAATACTACACAGTTGTTAAATGTGGGAAAGTAATTTTAACACATTTCTATTGTCAATAAGTAGTGCCTGTGGAAATTTGCATTGTCAGAATTGCATAATTCTGTTTAAATCAGTTGTTTTCAACTCTGACTGTCGCTGTCTCTCTTTCCTATGGATCTGGAGTAAAAGTTTACTTTTGCGGTGATACATACTTTTCCTACATGTGAATACATTTTTAATGTATTGTTGCTGTCATTTGTCAACGATCAGTGAAATTTTGATAGTGGAAACCTGCTAGTTTAATAATAAAAGGCAGCTAAATATCGGACCTATTGCTATCCTTGTTGCACTAGGGGCAAAACTGTCAAATATTTTTGGAGCCTACAACAGCCCAGTCTGGATTTTTCACGGTAAAGTGAATATTTTATATAAGTTCCTTATGACGGCAAGAAGTTAGTTTGTGATTGACAATTGCTGAAATCATTCCGGTTATTGTTAAATTAGCTTTAGAAAATCAACAAATTTTCTACCTAGATTAATGCGCTCGCGTGTTCAATTTTGAGTTGGCTACATTGCCTCTACAATTGTTGGCGACATATTATTGGCCTAGTTACATATGGCAATAATCATTTGAAATACGCCACTTCAATCTAATATTCAGTGATATTAACACTTTTCTATGATCTATAAATATTGAAAGTGAAGTCACATTAATTGAATCTATAGAAGAATTGTGTCATTTAGTAAATTTGAATCATTTAATGATATAATGAAATTGACACGTGGCAATTGAAATATACAGCGCATATGTTCTGCGCAGTGCGCGCGTGCTCAACCAGGTTGGCAGCTTGCTTGCTATACGCTGGCAACTGCTTATGGCTGGCGAGGAAAACCGCGAATTTATGAATTAATATAATGTTATATGATAAACTTTACTCAGCTATATTAGTCATTATTGTCTGACCTAACAAACAGTTGATCAACTAATCAGTGTTAATAGTTAAATTTGGATTATATATAATTAGCGCTTGTAGTTACAAAATAAGGAGTCTGTGAATTTGCGTGACGACATATGGGACTTTATTATTATTTTGTTGTTGCTATATAAACAAGTCATCGCTATAATTATTACTATTATTATTTGGTGTAGAGTTCTATACTTCAATTAAGATTGTTTTAAACTACGAGTGCTTTTGGTTTGCTAGCAGTACATTATACTTTTGTCCCTCGATGATGCAGCTATTTTCAGGCCATCTCCATCTAAAATTTACAAGAGGATTAGTAATCTTTCATTAGTGTACTATTGACCATTAGATATAAATTGATCAATACTGACGAGTATAATTGTAATTTATAGTGATAAACAGTCATCAATTATTACTCCTAATTCATTTTAATAGCAAACTATGAATAGGTACATGGTCAAATAAGCTCTTAAACTTACTTGTGATATAGATAAAGTAGGCCTAAATTTTCATTTCTGAATGAACTTGGAAAGATTTCTTTGTAGTGTAGTTATTTGCTTTCTTGATGCAAACATATATCGGTGGGATGGAATTTCTTCTCGTTCGTGACTTCCTTGTGCAACTGTGCTGATGTTTTGCCCTTAACTGATAGTTTGTGATATAGAAATCCTCATAAGATTGTGTTGACTTGTGCGGGGATCGCCACTGTATCTTGATTTCCCAAGTCTTTTCTACTAATATATTAATTTATTAGTATACAGTAATTCTATTAGGACAATTGAATTTAGTGAGACTGACAATTGAATATTTATATTGTTCCTATTTATAAGTTATACAATGTCTATATGACATATAGGTATAGAAGTACATAGGAGTTATTCCGTTATATGAAACTACATAAATATAATCATAGACATTTAATGTGGGAAACGATTATTTGAACATGAATTTGAGTGTTGATCGACAAAGATAAATCCTGGTGTTTTATGAATTTTTTATAGCAAGTAGTGAATAAATAATACTGTAACTATAAATAACAATAATTATTAATATATTTAGTAGTGTTATTCAGCAGTCAGTGTGTGAATTGAACATTTGAAATTCGAATAATATCTATCGGATATTAATAGGCTTATAATATTTAAGTAAAATATTTAACACTTGATAAGTAGTTGTTGATAAGAAACTTTTCCTCACTGATGATCTCCATACTTGTGATAATATTGGAACCTGTTGCAAATTATAGATAACCCTGATCCTGTGAGGAGTACTCCACATTGGACTATACGAATTTATATAAAGGCTGTTTACTGAAATATAAAATATAACAAATTTTAAACTGTGTGGGAAATGGACAATTAATTCAATTGATTCTATAGGATATATAGTATTATATAATTATAGACAATAGTAGCGATTAGTAAGTAGTGAATTATTAATATTAATTAATTCATGATTAATCTAAATGATTAATTTGCCCACCTGAGTTAGTATTAGAAATATTATCTATTAAATACTGCTGTAGGTTTGTTGAAAGTTTTCAATAACCTGTGAAATTATATTAGAATTATTATTGATATTTAACAATAATTAAATTAATTGAGTAATAACAGTGTATTATATAATCTTGATGTTTATGATTTATTAAATAGAATGCGAACCTACTATCCGTTGAATAATAATGAATTGGTGGCCTTGATCCTGTGTAGAGTGAAGCTTACATTGGCTTTGTGAAATCACGTGAAGTCTGCTGTTGAGTGTGGTTGTAATCTTCTCAGCCTTTTCCTAATATTAACAAATGCCAAAGTGGAATCATATTTTTAATCAATACAATACTTAAATAATCTACTCATTTATATAATCGTCTTGAGCATAATCTAAATTGAACAACTGTGAGGTATGCATATTGTGTAATTTTGACACTAATGTTATCTAAAGTCAGTATTAATATTTATATTAATCCAATATATTATTAGCTCATTGATATGAAACCCTGAGTTAAACTGATAATTATGCTAATGTGGTGTCTTACATAACTTTGTTGTGTTAGTGTATAAGTCTCAATATTGGAAATAGAAATATCATCCATTAAATAAACATAGGTTTATAGTATCTATATGATATACCTGATAAGTAAGTGAATAAGAACTTTTGTAGTTGATGATCTCTGTATGCTCATTATGGTATTGTTGCGGTGATAGAGTCCTATATATTATCTGATCTTGTGAAGAATTGGCAGCCTTTTTGTCTGCGTGAACTTGAATCAAGCTTGTACCTTAGTACAGTTTTTCTTCTCAAATTTTTCCTAACATTGATAAGTAATTAAATTAGGGCTAATAGTAATTGATAATAATTACTCAAAGTAGGTTTAATAGTATATTCGATTAGAGTGGAAAAGAAAATTTAATTAATTGATAATTAATTAATAAGTAAACAATGATGTTGCTTTCTGATTTTATAAATTATAAGTAGTGAATAGATTATAATTATCAATATATAATCAGCAAATACAGTCTTATACATTTAACTGATAATTTAAGTTGGTGTGTGTATTATAATACTTGAAATAGGAAATGTTACTTAATGAACAATTATCGGTATATAGTGTCTAATTAGGTTCACTAACAAGACTTGATAAGTATTAGGATGGAATTCTTTACTTTGATAATCTTCGTATGGGGCTGATTCCTCTTGTCATCTGAAAAGAAGACCATTTGGAACTTTCGCCTGGTAGTGTTGACTTTGATGAGGATTGTCAATGGTGTTTTGACTCCTCAAGATTTATCTGAAAATAACATACAATAAGTTATTAAATATAATAAATATTAACCAGATTGAAAGCAAGCTGCTATTAAAATTGTAGTAACTGACATATTATAGTTTTGTGGTCTACAAATTGTATAATAGATATTAATAATCTTATTAGGATAAACATATAAGTGGAAATCCCAATATATAATATAGTGGAAATTCAATATACATTTTGGTGCTTCTATGATCTATAGTTACGGAATTAAGAATGTTATTCTTCCGTACAAGTATAGATTATAATATTTATACGTTATAATACCTTATAAGTAATTGTGGATATAACGTTTTCCATAATTTGTGAAGATTATTAAGAATTCATCTTGTCCGCAGTCATTTAGTAATGCTGCTGGACATGGCCTTGATTTGTTCCCAATCTTTGTGACTAAATACAATTAAAATCAGAATTAATAAATACTTAAATAATAATTAAGATGATTAGCAAATAATTAACTTAATTAACTTGAGTGAAACTTACTAATAAATAATCTTACTGTCCTTATCACAATCTCAGTGAAATAACGATACGTTGAAATGTGGTTTACTTAATTGTGAACGGAATGGTTCCTTGATACAAGTTTTCTTG